AAGGAGAACGCCTCCACTGCTGTGAGACGTGCATCTCATGGTTTGCAGTGGTGGCAGTGTTCCATGCGATGGAATCTAATATGTGATCCCATAGTTGGGCCTCCTGCCATGCACATATGACACGGAAGGAGGTGCAATTGTATGGATTATGCATTTGATCCCATTGCACCTTTACCCGTACATGTTGTGGGGACCCATAATGCACCATCCTGAGAAAATGAGCAACCAAAGTTTACAACTTAGCCACACAATATGTAGTGCATAGATAATAGTATTATACTTTGTTTTGCAGCCAGTGTACCTTGGCACTTCTAGAAGCAATCTAGAAGTTTGCTTCAATCACTAGTCTCACTGTGGTGTGGTAAGAGTGCTCACTGTTTCAGTTACTGCTACTTGTGACAGTGGGCTCTTGGTTGGTTGGTAGAATGGAAATAAGACTAAAATCAACAGTTCATTTTATATAGATGACCAAAAAAGCCATCTGATAGATCATTTCCAAGTGCTAGAACTATCTGAGCAGACTCTTGTGTAAGTTGCCTGAAGGAAAAGACCAATGCATCCCATAGCTAGTTCTCTGAGACAAGTCTCCATATTTGTAAATTATATTCTGGTGTAAGAGTCTGGTAATCTTAAAGAGTGGGGGATGGTTGCTGTTTAAGTCCTTAGGTATTATAAAATGGTTGTGCCCTAAAATAAATAAAAATTACTGAGGTGTTAAGCTGGAGAGCTGAATCTCAGCTTCTTGGTACAGATTTCTATGATGGGTGTAGAAATGAATTCTCTGCACTCCAAGTGACTTGCTTTCTATCCTCTGTTTAAGCCTATACTAGATCACTTCTTTTCTTCATTGCAACAAAGTCCACTCTACCCTCCTCTGGAGAAAAGGCTGTGCAAACATAGTTTCACTGGTACAGTCTTCATTTAATTGTATGAGATACATTGGACAATCTATCAGATCCACTGAAACATATGAGGTACTTCAGATATAATGCTTGGTTCATTTTCCTTGGAAAATTGGAAGCAAGTCAGATGATACTTCCCCTTCCCCCCACCATTGTGTTACTGTAGCAGTTTTCCATAGTAGCAAACCTGTTTTTTATCCCTGGAAAAAAGACTTTTGCAGCCTTAAACCTGTTAGTTACAATACTTATTTTAACTAGTTTTTGAATTAATCTAAATTTTAGGCTCCATATCTTGGTTACTAGATGATTTTAAAATATTTGACATTGGTAACTTGGACATTAGCCTACTTTTTGGTCACTGCTAATTTTTTAATATCCTTCAAGTAAGTATAGTTACAGCATTTTCACTCAGAACTGTGCTATTTCATGTTGAGACTGAACTCTTGTCCTGCAGTTAGTTTCTAGAGTTCACGTATTAAAGGATTTCCCTTATAAGATAGTGAAATCTTATATTTGTTTTTTCTGCCCCCCACACATTCCTTTTTCTTACAGTCTCCACTCTCCTCTTACCTCCTGATTTTAATCTAATCTGCTATTGCAGTGAGTTAGTAAGAAAGAACATTTGTTCAAAGATAATTGCACATATGGAATGACCATATAGCAGTGAATTTATTTTAACTAATTTTTTTTTGGGGGGGGGGGAGCTCAGACTTTGAGGCACATTCTTTCAAGTTATTTCTGCCCATTCCTTTAGAATATTGAGAGAACTCTTATATTGATTTTCGTCAAACGGGGACATGTTTTTACTTCCATATAAGAATAACAGTTTTGAAGGGAAAGGAAAAACCAAGTTCCAAACAGCCATACTTTTAATGATAACATTTTATTTTTGTTTAAATATACATTTTCAATGCGAATTTGAGGTGGTGGAAGTTTTGCATTTTTAGTTTTAAGTTATTTTCACTTCATACGGTTCAAAATGCATCCATTTTCCATTTTGTCATGAAAATTTTTATTGCAACTTTTATCAAAAATACCAATATATAGATATATATATATTAAATCACTTTATACTGGAGGTAGCAGTGGAAAAGAAGTTGTTAGTTAAAACACCTTTAAATGCTGATGTGGATACTTATACAGAAATAAGGTGGCCGTAGTTTCCTAAAGTTTAATATGTGTTCATAGGCTTTAAATTCATGTTTTTGTATAATTCAGTATATTTTCCAAATGCGGGTATGACCTGAGACTACTAACAAGAGTTGAACAGGGAAATAGTCATAAGTGTCTAATCAATTTAGGAGCATAATCCTCAGTGACTTCGAAATTCACTGGGATTTGAGTAATTAAATCCCATGGATCAATGTTTCTCAATTTTTGTAAAGCCCTCTAACTTCAGGAAGATAACACAATAAGCTTTATTGTAGCTTTTCCCTCTACATGTTTTAAAAACAAATGTTAATTTATAATCTTCTATGTTCCTTCACTGTCTCTGCAGTCACACCTCCAAAGGGAAGTATATCTGGAATTCTGCTTCCAGGATAAAACTGGCGAGTGTCTAGATGGGTCTTTAACAAAGATGCTGACTATGTCAAGTTAAACGGAATAAATAAACTCCAAGAAAACAATCTGCAGTGTGTAGATTACCTGAACTTTTGGTTTAGATCTTTAGAGTATGATCCTTCTTGCTTTGAACATTGAAATAGTAATGCTGCCACAGTTGGTTTTTGAGGTTGCAACCATAGACTCAGTGGGCACATCCAAATATGTAGGCACATGCGGTTTACAGTGTTGCAGACCCATCTGTGGCACCGCAAACTGCACATGCTACAGATTTAGGCATTTGCAGCACTGCTGATTTGCAGTGCAGAAGGGGTTTTTTTGACACTGGGAGATCCCGTTGTCAAAAAAAAAAAAAAACCCGCGACAGAAAAAAACAGAATGAATGGCACACGTGGCACCAACATGTGCCACCCAAAACTGGAGCCTGGCCAGCCGGAGCCATACTCCAGATTCTGGCTAGGCTCTGCATGCCCAGGTTGCTGCTGGAGGCCTGAGAGGTCCCCAGGACCCCAGGTAAGACTGCTGGGTCTGGCCCAGGTACTGGTCCCCGCCTCCCCTACCCCACTTGGGGCACCTTGCCCTGCACCAAAGCATGTATGCCTGGGCATTCCCCAGGGACAAGCAGCAGCGGCACAACTGTGCTGCTGCTATTTGTCCCAGGGGAAGCACACTTGTCTGGATGCTCCCAGTGTGTCCATGCTGTTCCTGGCTAATATATCCTAGCCCTCCTAAGACACCTTTTCTGCAGCATTGCAATTAGGCGCTTTTGCATGTTATACCCAGTTGCTGGAGATGCAGTGATTTTGGAGGTGTAGTCCTTTCCAGGACCAACTCTTGTTTTGTGATGGTGTTTGCAGGGTATTGCAGTAGTTTGTCTGCCCTCTGTGGAGAGCATTGGTGTAAATGTCAGTTCCAAAATTGAACCTAGTTCTTCTTCATTGCCTGGTTTATTTCCATTCAGCAACTCTTATTTGTTTTACAAGGCAATCCCTTTTAATATACTTTTTTTAAAAAGGGCCTTTTAACATGGCAGTAAATTTTTAATGTACTTTTCCCCCAGGTTTGAGGAAATGCTCTGTATGAATTGAATATTGTTACAGAATGTAGACTGATTTTTTTTTTTTTTTAAATAAGAATTTCGTTGCATAGTACTCTGTTAACGATACTCTAACAATATACTACTTTTGGATGGATCTTATTCAGCCCAGATGAAAAATTCCCATTGACTGGAATGATGCAGAATCAAGCCTGAAGTCTTTTTCTCAAAATAAAAGCAGGGGAATATTCAGAGGGAGGAATTATGATCTTGTTTTCAACTTTTAAGTCTCTCTAAAGTCTGCAGAAGTCTCAGTGCTCTTATTTTTTCCTGACAAGAGGAGAAAATCTTTAAAAAGTGTTTTCAGCTATTGGTGTAGATTGCCAATTCATCTGAAGTATGAGCAGAGAACCAGGCAGTGTGGAAGAAATTAAGGTTCATTTAAATTTTCCAGGCAAGGCTGGGTTTTAGTCTCTCTATAAAACTTGAAAAATACATTTCTTATTCCAGTGTAGCTATTTTCCTAACCAAAAATGACGCTGCTTATTGTGAAGAGTTGCATGTAATTTTCATGCCTAGAAAGAAATAAGATTAAAACTATTAGTATGATGGCTCAATAGCTTTTTTGCTGGACTGCCTTAACTGGTGGTTGCTACTATTTAATGATTTGGGCCTTTGTCCTGCTACTGTGCTGCAAGGAGAATACACTGAATAAATGACTGCACTGTCCACTGCAGTCATTGGGACTTTTACAAGTATGGCGAGTATCCTCGTTTTTAAATGAGTATGTGTATAAGATCTGAAGTCTTTGTTTTAATTTACAGTTCACAATTTTCTTGTCTGGGAGTGTCTAGAATATCTTGCTTTTACTCTAAAATTCCACAAACAGATTATTTGCAGAGGGAGAGGATGCATCTCCTCAGACCCCTCTACAAAACAGATTTTGTTTCAAGTTTTTTTGTTAGCTGTCTGGTTTTAGTTTCTTTGAGCTGTGCAAAAATGGGTCCCTGCCTCTGCCAACAATGGGCCTGATCCACAGCCAAGTGAAATCATTGAGAGGCTTTTCTTTGGCTTCACTGGTCTTTGGTACAAATGCAGTATTTGCTGTGTGGGCATGAAGCCTATGCACTAGCATGTCAGATAAGAATTGAAATCCTACAGATCCTTTTTAAAGAAAAAATCAGATAACTGTTTTGTAAAGCATTCATTCCATCAGTGCCATAATTTCAGCGTAGCCTTTTAATGTACAAGCTTGGTTAGACACTCGGAAGAGCATTGATACTGTGCTCTGTAAACTGGATTTCAACGTTACTAACATCTTCTTCAGATTAGTCCTGAGAAGCAAAGGAAAACACCAACATTTAACTCTGGCTTTGCATATGGAGTGGAAAAATTGACACAATGCCATTTGTTCATAGTTGCATTTATGTCTTCAGTTGTATGTGTGGTCTTGGTAAACTTGCCCAGAGAATATACTGACACTGTTTTACTTTATCTAGACACACTACTTTGGCCTTTGGTTTCTCAGCAAGAGCCAGCAAGCACGATGGGTGGAACTGGAAAAACCTCTGAAGAAGCAGCTGGACAAATTTGCCAATGAGCCTTTGCTTTTCTTCGGGGTAATGTTCTATGTGCCCAATGTATCCCGACTGCAGCAAGAGGCCACAAGGTATGAGGATTCCTTTCGTTCATGCTATTGATAATAAATCTGTAGTATAGGTGATTGTGGATGAACAACTTTTTCTTTGTTTAGCTTGGGATTTTAAGATTCCTTTTGAGTGCTGTGGTCATCTCTTTATTTCTCCTCCTTCCCGGTCCCAAGTAAAATTGGTGAGAGAAATCATCAGTTATTCTGTCCATTTGAATAAATAAATTATGTATCTTGTATGAGCAAAAAGGAGAGAGAGTACATGTTAAAAGAGGCAGTTCTACAAAGGAATGTATAGTAACTGTTGGATCTTATTGCACTTTGGGGTATTTTCATGAAAACTAAAGCTTTATACCCATGATAGCTGCTTATATTTTGGTTTCTACCTTATAAAGGCTTCATGTCTGTAATACCATTTTATCTATATTTTATTTCTGTTTTTTCTGATTTTTGCAGTTTTGAAAAAATTCACAATTAGAACTTTTTAACATCAAGATAACTGTTTATGCATCATTTTCTACTACAGTGACGACACATTTCAGGGCACTATAGCTGATTCCCATGAAGTGAATAGATTAAGAGCAAAATACTGCATTTAATAGGTTCTACATAAAAACTGTTTTTTTCATAACACTGAAGTGGTGGCACTTAATATGAGGAAATGCACAGGTATATGCTTTAATAGGAATGCCATTGCCACTTTGTCCCTTTGTATGCAGATATTTAGGGTCCGAGGAACAGTCCCATCAAACTCTGGGCTAGCCCTTAAACAGATTATCTACCTTGATTAAGGTGCAGTCTAGAACTGCACTGCCCAAGGCACTGACTAGATAGTGGATGGTGACTCCCAACAGTCATGTTTGTACACTTGTGCACCCATAGTTGTGCATTTACCACCTGCAACACGGAAACATTGTGCCCTAATGTGTTTGACTATACCTTGCTGACTTGTGTGGAGGAGAAAACAGTGGCTCCTTGAATACTGTTGTCTTTTTGGGCTGTATACTGCATTGCTCATAGAAAAACAGATCCTAATACCTCTGCCTGTGTATGTAAAGCAGTTGGTAATGTTGCCTTAAATTATTTTCAGGAATTTAATTCTGCAGCCTTGTTATACCCCTGTTGCACTTGACAGTAATGCTAGTTTGAATAGCTCTTGGGGTTTTTTCTTCTGAAACAGTAGACAAAAACAAGTTACTGTGGATTTTTTTAATTGCATGTCCTTTAAACTGTTTTATCTTTCTTTTTGTAAAAAGATCAAGATAGTAATAGATGACTGGTGCAGAATACTCTGATTTAAGGTTTTGTATAGCAAAGAAGCTGCATAATTTTGGCACTTGGCATTTAACAAGGTAAATAAGGGCAGTATGTACCATATTTAAAGACAGAGGATGGTCATTGTGGGGACTAGGAAGGATTTTTCATGCCATCACCACCACCATGGATAATAGAAGGCATCTTTATCTGAAGGATCAAGGAACAGTTGATTGAAGTCCTGATGGACAAATAGTCTCATAATTTCTGACAAAGTATAGCTTCCTGTGCTAGTCAGAACTGAAAATGTGAAGCATACAAGTGGAGGACTTTGTACAAACCCTGCTCTGGTAGAGGCTCCTGTACACTGAAGTGGGGACCTCCCTCTCCTAAAAATCAGGAAGTTAGCTTTAAATTCTGATCTGGGCCCCTTAGACTGAGCACAAAATATTCTGCAAATCCCTGGCTGCCCATGCCATGCCCCTCTTCAGACTGCAGTGACTTGTTGTGGGATGCTGGGTAGAGCTTCAAGAGTGACCCGGCTCCAAGGCTTTCTCATCATCAGTGTATGATACATGGCCTGGTAAACTGAGAGCTTACCAGGTGGAAATGCAGCTAGCATAGCTTCCTGCCACCGTCGCAGTATGGAAAGCAGTTTTCTTATTTAAGATGTTCACCCCAATTTTGGATGGCTATGTTTTGCGGGGAAAGTTGCATGTAAATAAGTATGGTAATTGTAATTGCTTTTCCTGGCATCTCCTGATTAAACACCTCCTTCATTCTTTTTTTAAATTGCAAAAGTGCACAAAAATGAAAAACGACACCAAAAAGAAAGGTTAAAGAAAACGAGAGGTTAAAACCCTAACAGTGTCAGTGCTTTGGAGAACTCCTGAACTTCAGAATTCACTTGTCCTGGAGATATGTCTAAACTTGAGGTTGCCTGATCATGTTTAATCTGAGCTAAGATTCATCATAGCCCAGGCTTTCCAAAAACTGCAGGCTCTAGAAATCCTGGTTTTAATTAATATAAAAGATAATTAGAAATGCACCTTTTTTAGAATGCACTTCAATAAATATGCAAGAGCCACAAATATGGAGATTTTAAAGTATTTGGTTCACTGGCAAAATTACCATTGTCTCTGCTGTATAAAGGCAGTACTATTTTCTCTGTTTTTCTCATTTATTTAGTTTTTTTATTGTAAGTTGCCATAAGTCTTTTTGGGGAGACTGTGTAAAAAAAGGAAATAATTTATGGGTTTGGGACACTGCTGGTAGAGGGGAAAATGGATATCGTATTGGCAATGTGGTGCTCTAGTACACTTTCCCTTGTGACAGATGGACTCTAATACATTAATTATCCATGATACAGAGTGAAAATACTAGTAAGAGGAAATGTCAGTGTTTTCATTTTAAAAGTAGAATGAGCTTGACTCAGTCTGATAACAGACATACCAGTCAGGAGCCTGTCATTTTGAACCTCTAGGCCCAACAGGTCCAGGCAAGATCAAAGGGGTATTCCAAAATGCTAGCTTTTGAGAGAGGAATTTGGAAAACTGTTCTAAACTATGTAATGGGTAACTGGAGGAATAAGGTGGGGGACAGTTAGCCCCTGTGCTGAGAAGAGATAGTATCCAGTAGAACTTAGATGCTTCATCTAATCATACACGGTTCAAGTTGAATTTTTCACAGTGCTCATCATTGGTCAAATTCAAGAGTGTTTTACCACAATCTTTCAAGAGGGAGCAAAGTGAATTTCATATCGAGTGCTTTTGAAAATCCCAGCTTACATTGCTGAAATGCTGTGGGGAAATTCACACTAGCATGATATATTATACACAGATTCATTCGCACCCTTAACATAAAAATAGTCTATCAGTTAAAAGGACTGGAATCCACAGGATCAAGATATCTGAAACCTTGTCCTCCTTTGACCCTAAAAACAGAGTACAAATCTGTAGTCTACACAGGGTCTGTGTTTGGAAAGATGTACTGGGTGTGTGCCCAGGTACAACAATGATGGATACTTTTATGTAGTATCATCATTAGATGAGTGAGTAGAAGAGCAGAATGTCTGTGCTGGCAGAAAATTCTGCATCTTGATTTAAAAGGAAAAACACATTTCCTTCCAGTTCAGAAATTCACAGCAGATTTGAGAACAAGTGCATTTTTGGTGTAATCAGTGACAGATCCCCCCCCCCCCCTTAGGACTTGCATAATTTGAGAAATCCTATGAGAATCTGGAGATAATAAAGCAAGTAGTAAAACTCTCCACTCCTGATGGCAGCTTGAGCAGAAGCAATTGGAATGGAAAGATGAGATTGGCATATCTGCAACTTTCCAGTCACCCAGCTGTTTTCAGAGTTGCCAGCCATCACAGGTGGAGATGCTGTGGCTGCTTTGGCATATTTAAAACACCTGGGATTTGCATAATATGCAAATTTTAAATGGCATAAAACGATCTGTGTGATGCCCTGTAGAGTAGATATTTTGCATAGATTAGAAATATGTCTGCCTTTTATTTGCTACCAAGTCCTCAGAGGAGACATCCTTTCAGCCATTTGTGCTTAAAAAATAAGCCTTTGTACAAATGTCTAAAGCAAGCAAACTATTTTCACTGCACTCTTGTTCTGCAAACAGACCCTGCCCCCCGCCATACTGCTGTGGCTTCTAACATGGGCATAACACTGTTTTCTACTGTCAGGCCATCCATGCTTGCTTTGGACAATTCCAAGAGAAGCCTAAAGAGTAGGTTTTAGTCCTTAAATCATTATACTCTTCAGTCCTGATTCTTCTGTGCCCCACTTTGATGTTGTGGGAATCTTTTAAATTCTGTCTTGTAAGAACCACTCTACCTCACTGCAAGATTGAATTAACTCTTTAAGTGGTAGTTGAAAGTGCTCAGTCTCTTGCAGACCTGTGATTTAGGGCCTAATCCTGCAGGATCCTGAGCACCTCCCATTCTCATTGAAGTTGGTGGGGTTTGAAGACCTGCACTCCTTCCAGAAAGTTATTCTGTCCATTGGAAGATGTGCATGGTCTCTGAAGGCAGATCCGAATGCTGTTCCTATTACTTGAGGCACTCGGCATTATGCTGGATTGTGGCCTTTAATTTCGTCTCATGCCCAGCCCTGCATTGTCCTTGGGGAAAGCTACTGTACAGCTTGTAGATGAAGGAAAACATTGAGGGGCCACATTTGGAAGCAGACAGCTGCACCTGCAGAATATGGGAATCAGTACATTTGCAGGTGGAAAATGAGCATTGGTGGCTGCCAGGAGAGTTTTTTGAGGCTCTTTGGAATATTGGCCCTCACACTTTCCTCTCTCAACTTTTGCAGTACATTTATTCCTCCTTATGTTTCACTTTCTCCGCCTTTTCTTTGCCAATTTTCTGTTTGTTTTAAACAAAGCCTTGTTCTTCTTTGCAGCCCTTCTCTTCCCACTTTATTTTGCTTCACATGCAAAGTGAGGAATTTATACAGTTACCATTTACATAGCAACAGATTGTTATGAACATACGATTTTGACTTCACTGGAGAACAAGGCAAAAGGAAAAATCTGGTTCGTGACTACATGTGGAAAAGAAATTCATACAGGAGAAAACGCAGAAAATTGCTGGCAAAGCCAGTTTTTTATTAATCTCTGGTGGGTTTTTCTTAATTGAAAAAAAAAAAAAAAAAAAAAAAGTTCCCTTTAAATTTTTCACCTTTTTTGGCTGTTATTTTTTTCTATTCTTTTTTTTTTTTTTTTTAATTAAAAAAAAAAAAAAA